CCACCCACCCATCTATCCATCCATTCATGCATCCACCCACCCATCCATCTATCCATCCATGCATCCACCCACTCACCCATACACCCACCCACCCATCCACGCATCCACCCACCATCAACACAGGCATGTTGAACACAGGCTAGATTCCTGCTCCAGACCCTAGGGATTCTAGCGTGAGCAAATGGACCCACTCTGCCCCTGGGTACTTTTGATTCTTGGATTGAGGAGGAGTTACAGGAGTTACTGGGGTAAAAAGGAGAGCTAGAGGAGCCCAGGTATTCTCAGTACCGTCAACAGCTCTGACCTCATGCCCTCCTGTGATGGAGCACAAATCCTTCCCCAGAACACTGTCTCCTTTTCATACTGCGTCAGGATGCTCCTCGCCTCTCTTAGCTCCAGACCCTCGCACCTTGTAAACCGTTTGCCGTGGACGTGACACAATAGTCTGCTCTTCTGTCTTTTAGAAAAGGAAAACACTTGCTAAGGAGCTGGCTCTAGTGTTCTCAGACAGAACCCAGGCACTGTGTGCTCGAGATTCGGGCACCTTAATCAGGGCAGCGCTTCTGCGTCCTACCAGGATGAAAACCTTTGCCTTGGGCAGCCTTAGGGTGACAGGACCAGTACCAGGGACACTCTTCTCCCTTCTTTTGATCTGCCCACCTTTGGGGCCTTGTGCTGCTCAGCACGTGACCAATAAATAAATCACCTGCTAGGCCTACAGCTCTCCGTTAGGTGAAGTATGCGAACCTCGCCCTTAAAGAGTGTGCCATTCAGGTGTTTTTCACTCCAGAGAAACCCCACATGGCTGAGACGTGAGCGCCCTGAACCTTGGTTACTCACAGGCATTTCTATTTTATCAGTACTTGCCATGAATTAGACATACTACCTTATCACAATGCTGAGCCCAAATTACATACTTGACTATCGGGAAACAATATTCCAGTTCATAGCTCCCGCCCTGCTGCCTTTATCTCTGACTGCTGAGATGGAGAAATGGATTCCTCCCCAGATTTTACCCAAGGACTGGTAGTGGGGCTCCTGATCATTTTGAAAATATTTCAGGAGTGCAGACTCGGTGGTAGAAATGAGTGTGCCTGGGCCTCGTCCTCCTGTCCTTCCCCGTATGGAAGGGCAGCTCAACTAAAGGATTTCCTTCCTAGTTGGATGCTCTTTGAACTCAGTCAAATGCACCATTGCGGTGCCACGCTTTACTATTTTAATATTCAGGCCCCGTCCCCCCACAACCAGTCACTGAGTGGTGGAGCTTCCATCACAGTTGCGTTAACATGTGTGGGTGCGGTTCTACGGAGCTGATTCAGCATCCTGGCTTAAGAGTACAGACTTCAGAGCTAAGCTGAGTCTGAGTCCCACCTCTACCAGTAAAGGGCCCTGAACATGGGACAAGTTAATCATCCTGTCTTAGCTCGGTTTTATTTATTTTTTTAATCTACAAAATGGAAATAGCAATACCATTTTCAGGCAGACGTAAAGAACAAATTAATACTCAAAACTCATTAAGAACAGTGGGCCTCAATACGCTTTGTCACAGATAGAGATACATGCAAAAGCGCCTGGCACGGCTGTCAAGCGCTCCCTCTGAGGCCATTGCTCACTGTTAGACCTTCTGAGAGAAATGAGAGTCATTTTTCACAGTGATGAAGGCGACTCCACCTGAACTCTGGAAATGGCGGTTCATCAGGCTGCGCAGACCTGGGGCAAATCAGCGGCTATGGATCTCAAGCCATTCTGGGTCAAGACCCGTGTGTGGGGGCGGCTGCTCTAGATGTTTGCAAAGCTGCGGGAGATGTAAACACCTGCCTCCCATCTGAGAGTCGGCCTGGCTCGTGCCTGCATCCTTGTCTTACTCACTCTTTCTCCATTGCCCCACAGGTATTCCTCAGCACCAACCCTTCAATGCATTACCCTTGTTAGAGCTTATGCAATATGCTTATGAATAGCAAGGGGATTCACTTTCTGGGCTGCCAGGGCAAATTATCACTAAGACAGTGGCTTAAAGCAAGAGAAACACTTTCTCAAAGGTTCTAGAGGCCAGAAGTCAGAGATGGTGTTTCCGGAAGCACCACGCTTCCTTCTAAGGGGCCAAGGGTCAGCGCTTCCTTGCCTCTTTCTGTTTCTAGCGGTTCCGTGGTCTCCCAGCATCTCTACCACGAACTGTCTTTACCACGTCTGTCCTTTCTGTGCCTGTTTTTTCTTGTTCATCTTTGTAAGGGCATTTCCTACTAGATTTAGATCACACCTAGGCAATCTAGGGTGAGCTATTTTCAAGGCGCCTAACTTTGCGAGATCTGCAAGGATCCTTTGACCAAATAAGGGCACATTTACAGGTTGTTGGGATTAGAAATTAGAATGTCTTCCTTTCTCAACCCTCTCTAGATAGCAAGGTTAACAACTGGATTCTGAAGCTGTGTTTGTGGGTTCCAGCAGAAGTCTGTGTTACATGGGTGAAGTGCCCGTGGTATTGGCTAATATCTGCCCAGCATGGGAAGGCACAGGAGGGAGAGATGGGCATGCCCATCTTAGAAGTTTCTGTCTGAGCTTTCCTGAATGATGGCTGGGTCACGGTCAGTCCTAACTGTAGAGCACAACACTGACTGTTTGAGGATGTTCATGGGAAGTGTTTAAGACGCCTGTGTGGGCAGAAAGTTTATAGTGTCTGACCCCTGCTCTGGTCACAAGGCTGCTATGTTGAAGTTTGTCAGCATGACCGCATGTCTGTCTTGTCTCCAGCACCGACTGAAGTAGATCTGCACTCAATGACTCAATGACAGCAATTTTTTATTTAATACTCCCATTGAGTCAATTTTTTAAGGATCCGTACAAAAGTATTACACAGGAATAAGTAAGCCACAGCTATGCTGGAAATACTTGCGAAGGCCAGGCCTACAGTTTCTGTTTTCACTTTCATCTAGAGCCCAAGTAGAAGGTGGCGGAAGAGTCAGGAGCCAAAGACAGCGAACTGTTGTTGTCCAAAAGTACTAACCAAGCCTGGCATGAAGGATGCTGTTGGATTCCTGCACCGTTACCCAGCAGTGAGGGAGGGATAGAGTTGGGGGAGAGTAGATCTGCTCTCCCTGGGCAACGGGCCAGACTTCCATTTCTGCTTTACCACTCACTATTCAAGCTGGTAGGTGACCTCCTTTCTTTATGACTTAATTATTACATAGGAAATATATGCACCATATCATGTCTAAGGGCCCTTTCATCGTGGTCTCTAATGGAACCTGAAGCTCATAGATTTGACTAGGCTGACTGGCAGTGAGATTGAGAGATCGCACTCCTTGGTGTTGCGGGCACAAGCTACCATGTCCACTTGAGACGCGATCTTAGGTTCTTGGGCTCAGTAGACACTTAACTGACCCATCCACCTCCCCAGCCCCCTTAGCACACACTTTCAACTGCTCCCTAGAAAATGCACACCGGAGTGTGTGGGCTGAGAGTCTGGGTGTGCGCATATGTACTAGCTGGTGCTTGTCAATTGTACAACATGTACAAGCTAGGCTGGATTTACTTAGCAGGCATTAGTCATGAGATTCACGTTAATGCAATGGCCTCAGGCTCAATGATAACAACAATGTCCCCAACAACTCGTACTTAAGAACACTTATTTAGCATCAGGATGGGGAACAGATGAAGCTCAGAGTGACTGTACTGTTGCCATGAGCACAGCCACGCCCAGGACCGCGGTGCCTCAGACCCACGACTATGGCAAAGCCTTCCCTAGGCAATGAATGGATGCTACAAATGATTGACCTTTAGGTAAAAGCACTGTATGCATGCAGAAACTGAACCACAGGTTCCTCCTCCTGCATGACTGTGACCTGAAACTGCTCCCTACAGAGACCTCCTGCTGAGAGGAGAGGCTGCTCCTCCTCCTCCACCTGTACCTCATACAGGAGCCTCCTTTCTCAGTGGTACATACTAAATGCACTGAGTTCCCAGGATGCTGATATGTCCCCTTCAGCATGCAGAGCCTACCTGATTCCAGCTTTTCCGTATATGTATCTGTTATTTCTCCATCTCCCTAGTGAGGTCAGTCCCCAACCCTCGAGGTTCGTGGCGCACTGGCCCAACAGTGATGCGCTTGACTTTTCCTGAATTCTGAAAGCTGTATTCTCTAGCATCTGGCCACTCAGACTGTATCTCTGTATCTGAATTCTGAAAGCTATATCTCTAGCATCTGACCACTCTGACTGTATCTTCAGTTCCTGCCGACGACCACAGAAACTAGAGTGCTATATACAGTAAGGATTTTATTTAATGCTCAAGTTGCCCATCTCATTAATATTCAAATACAAGTGTTAGTGAAACTGTCTATGTGTAACTAATGTACAACAACCTGGTGAATCCAGAGCTCAGCGTCTGCCTTATGATTTCAGGATTTCACACAGATCCATATGCAAATGAGGAAGAGATCATAACCACCTTGTAAGAAGGTCCTATGATTCATACTGTTTTATAGGCATGGGAATTCAGTGCTATAGTAGTTAAGCAGTTCCACACAGCCCTTCCACTCACGTCTGAGTGACTCAGTTTCTAGGGAGTCTTGTACTAACTAGACTGTCAGTTCCACACAGGTAGCAACCCCTGCCCTCATGTTAGCTCCAGTCTCCCGTGCATCTGCCCAGGTCATGGTATATAGGAGGTGATCAGAAAATACTGTGTGACAACCAAGATGCTAATTCAGATTCCTCACTTGAGATGACTACATAATGTAAGGACGACATACGTTAATCCTGTGATTCACGACAAGAGGATGGTTCTACTGAGCATCTCTGTCTCCACTCCTGGAAGGCAGCTGACATTAACTTACATCCTGTTGACCCTTGGCTCTCTCATGCATAAAGGAAGTTCATCTGTAAGTTCCTGGTCTGGGATTCAGGGATGGATACTCTGGTTGCTTTGACGTCTGTTCTGGAAAAGGTATTCCCATTAGCTGAAGTGATCTTGGCTTTTGTAATGTGAGTGACTGTCACTTGTGGGAGCCATGATTAGTTCTCATGACGCCCCTGTCTTTTCATCTCCAAAAACATTTTTCTTTCTGGTCTCCAGTGTCAGTGTGTTTCCCAGACTCAACAGGAGAGAGAAGGAAGGAAAGACGGCAGGAGCATCCCAACGGCACTCAGTGTGCTCGTATTAATGCCGGGCACTATGATCCATCTCATTAGAGTTGACAGGATGTCCCTGAGATGACAAGCATGCTGCCCAGCCTCCTGTCACTTCCAGCACATCAGCAGGGAAAGAAACCCTCCTAGAGGAAGCGCTTAGCTCTGTAGGATCCAAGAGGACTGATTGTTTAGTAAATATTTCATCAAGAACATTAGCTGTGGAGTTTGGATGCTTAAGTAATGCAGATAATGAAATGTAAACAATTAAAAATTAATAGTGTTTGAAATGTTAGGCATAATTAGGCAAGCAGTGTATTAGTAATGAGGGGGGTCCACTCATGGGGAATATCTTCCATCCACCTTCTGGCCTGTGTTACAAGAGAAACAACCTCAAAGAACTCCCCAGGGATTGTTCTAGAATTCAGCTCTGTAGGCTGGGGTGTCAGAATGTGGGGTCTGCAGGTGTCTACTGGTAGAGGCTGCCACAGCGCAGGCATCTTTACATAGGGTCTGCACAGAGTGCCGACTGGGACATGTTGGAGGCAGGACACGAGAGACGGTATAAACACACTGCTAGAAATCACACTTCCAATCAAAGGCGAAGGAAGCAGGGCAGGGACGAGGCCACATTTATTTAGTGAGTTGTGTAATGCAGAGGGGCTCTCTGGAGAGTCGTTCCATTTTTTGTTTTCCTTTGCTCTTGGGCTCTCATCTTCAATCATTTCCCTTTTCTTTCCCAGTAGCTACTTCCCTTCCATCTAAAAATATGTTCAAGTGTCCTTCTCTGCACACAGAGAATTCTCTTCACACGTCCCCCTATAAAAGCTGCCGGCCTTCAAACTTCTTGGAAGAGGGCAGCACATTTCTGCCTTCAGCCTCCCTGAATCTCATCCCCTGGTGCGGCAGCCATGCTCTGTTGCAAGCTCCCCCTGACATATGCACATGCGCTCTAGTGCACGTGCGCGCGCACACACACACGTGGTTCTTACAAAGCTACCTCTGCTGTCCAACCGGTTGTGCCAATAATCTCCCTGGTTCACTCTGCAGGACTGTACTCTAGTCTTCAGAAATTCTCCCCTCTGATCTCAGCCCTCACACTTTTGTACAATGTTCTTTTGGCCTTTAGGTTCTGGCCTGAGAACACCACAGCTTAGTTCTTTACTTCTTACACACGATCTGCAATTGAAACTCAGTCGAGACAGAATAGTAAACATGTGTGAAATGGGTAGGAGAGAAAGAAGGGGTGTAGAACAATGGGGAAACAGTGATAACCTTTTAACTTGTTTATATATTTTTAAATTAATTTCTCTCTGTGTGTGTGTCATGGCACATGTATAGAGGTCAGAGGATAATTCCCAGGAATCAGTTCTCTCCTTTATAAAGTGAATCCCAGGGATTCAGCTGAGATTATGAGGTTTAGATGACAAACCTATTTCCAGTTCTTAGTTTCTTTTCTTGTTGCTGAGGTGAAATGCCTCGACCAAGCTCTTCACTTGGTTCACATTTCCGGGTTGCCGCCCACCTTTGCAGGAAGACCATTTCTCTTTCTGAGAGCTTTGGTTTTTTTTTTTTTCCCTTGAATTATATGACTTTGGCTATGCTTCTTACCAAGACCTGAATCTTCTAGCTCAGTTCAGGGTCTTACAAAGCTGGAGACATTACATCATTTATAAAATTCTCCAAGAAACATGTTCTAAATGAATCTATTCTAACTCTCCTTTCTCCCATACCCGCACATAAGCACATGCATGCGACGCCTGTCCACACCCTGCACCTCTGTCCCCTCACTTGTCACCTCAGTTAGTTTTTTATCTGTCTACCTCGTTTGGTCCACAAAGGCCTGGCCATTCTCTTTCTGAGATAACATTTGCATCCAGCACTTTATGGTTGCTCAGAGAAGTAGGCTTTGTTTGGGCTCCTGGCTCACAGGCTCTGGTCTGTCACGACTGGGAAGGTATGATGACACAGTCGGTCCCTGGTGAGAGTGTTTGACAGCTCCTGGTCGCGGTTTTGATGATAACCTTCAAAGGCCTGCCTCCAGTGAGCCACTCCCTCCAGCGGGTACTCCTGCCATCACCCAACCTCCTACAATAGCTGCCACCTGGGGACAGGTGTTCCAACACCTAGACCTGTGGGGCCCGTTCCTCATCCACACGCTGACATGGTCCTTTTGTGTCTAACTCTGCAGTCACTGCCCTCATTGAAGAGCTCATCTTCTGCTAATGAAATTCACTAACTGTTTGACTCTTGCTTCAGTGCGGCTTCTACAAGCAGGGTTTCGCACAAGTGGACAGACGTCTGTTCTTAACAGGTTTTGGGCAGAATCGGCCTTCGTTCCCTAGGGTTCTTACTGAGAGAGATGTCATTGGTCAGGTGATCAGGACAAACACTCCAGACTACTCCAACCTAGATCACTCCATCTTAGTTGTTAGAGGCTGATTATCCACACACGTGGCATTCTTCATGAATAGGCTTGTGTGTGCTTGCTGAATAAAGGATGGAGCTCATACCATGAGTCTCTTATGAAACTGGGAGTCTCCCTGACAACCTCCACTATAGTTCTCATCTTAAGACCCTTGTACTAATAAAGGGATGTGGAGAGCTGGGTGGTGTTGGGTTAGATGGGTTTTCTCCTTTAAAGATCAAATAATAGGTTGAATCTGGGGGAACCTCTGACCTCGGAACAGTTCAGAGAACTGGGTACGGAGTACGGGAGGGGTCCTTGAAAGGCGCTGTCATGATTTCTTCATCTCTAATATTTCTTCTAATGCTCCGTTTTACAGTGAAGCTTTCTGGCTCTGAGGTGTTGAGGGGTTAGTGCATGGTGCATTATTTTGATTTCGCCAGAAGATAACCTTTTGACTACTTAAGAAGAAGCATTCCTCAGAGTGTTTGCGGAGCCAGACAGAAGGTAATTTCTGGCTCTTTCCTTTACCAACAAGTGACAGCTTAGGTCAGAATTTCAGTTTCATGTGAGAAGTGTTAGGGTTCATTCAGGAGTGATTGTTGTCAAGCATACTTGAGATGCTATACACAGGCATGGCAGGAAGCCAGCCGAACATGCACACATTGATAGAAGCAGGGGCGGGAGAGGGTTTGGGCTTCACAGGCATCCAATGGGCTCATCTCTGTAACCTGAATTAAAGGGCATCCACATGCTTTGCTTTACTGGCTTACCCCAGGCCCTTTATAGAAACCCTGAGTATCTGTCTACAGAAGGTAGAACAGGGGTCTGTAGTTCTTGGGATGACTTTGCAAGCCAACTGGTTGACATCTGGGCAATTTCCCCTCTATAAGAAGAAAAAAAGGAATTAGCCAAATAAGTTAAATCTAACAACAAAGTAATGAAATATCCATTTCATTCCAAAGTTAATGGCCTTACTTCAAGTTATTTAGTACTCCATAGCAGAATAACTCGCCAGCCTACACTTTGCATATACATATTTATTCAATTCAAAAGAGCGTGCTCTGCACGCTGGCTACCCATGATTTATGCCCATATAATAACTCCTGAATAGAACTCACTGCTTTATGGGTCTTTGGTGGGATTTTTAAAAAATAAATTCTGCACAGGGGATGGCATTAGAAGGCAAAGGAGAGCACAGGGTGGCTCTCCTCCTGTGTGGACACCGCACTAGTTACCTCTTATTAATCCAAGCAATAAAAGTCACTTTGACATGCTGTCATTATTCATTATTTATTTTTCACATCTTTTTTTTTTTTTTTTTTTTTTTTTAGAAATGGTTTAGAGTGGTCTTATTTTCACATACGGTTGGAGTCTTCAGAATCTGTTCCTGGAAACAGCTGTGTGATTGAATACACAGAACTGAGTCCGCTGTAGAACCCGCTCCTCACGGAACAAACAGCGTTTATTGCATGCCTGCTGGCCCGCTATGCCGGAATAACTCCTATTAAATTAGCAATTAAGCAAAGTAAAGCTTGACTTGGAGAACAACCCAAAGCACAATGAGATGGATGTGACGCCGATCGAATTCTCGAGAGCTGTGTGTAACTTTTAAATGTTACCTACAAATTTATAATGTACCTGATTAGCTTGAAATGTCAAAATCATAACTGAAGACCCCACAGAGGCTTTCTAAAGGGCACAGTGCCTCTCCTTCCTTATTTTGCTTCACTTTCTTCTTTTCCCACTTCAAGATTCTTCAGAAGACCTAGCTAGCAGAGGCTTCCCGCTCAGCCTGCTAATAACAACCAGAAATATTCACAGTATTCCCTGGGTCTCCTCCACTCCTCACATGGTCAGGTGTTGGCATGCAGTCCGTATTCTCAACCTAATCACTTGCGTATAAAGTCGGAACTTCGCAGCTGTCTCAAAATCGTACACCATTTATTTTTAGGAAGGCATTGCTGTCAATAACAGAAAGCAGGGGCGGTGGCGGGGGGGGGGTGTCTCATCTCAGACAATGTGTGGAATTGCACCTGACTGACAAAGCCACTGAAGGAGCTGGCAGATACTATTCTTACACTAGTTACCATATGTCTTACATCAAATGCAGCTCTGGTCTGATTATCATTCGGGCTTTCTAGAAGGAGATGGGAGAGAGCTGTCAGGGAGAGCTGGTCCTGGGTGCAAATGCTGCCCCCCCCCATACAGGCTTCCAAGTCTACTCAAGAAAACAATTAAAACTCCATTTGCATCAAAAATAAGAGAGCCCTGGGTTAATTACAGGTAAGGTTGCATTTGCATTCCCAGGGGCTAGCCACTGCCAGGTTCTATTTTTGAGGGGGAAAAATGCTTCTGCAGTTTAACTAAATCTACATTCTTTTTTTTTTCTCTCTCTCTCTTAAAATTCTATGTGGCCAAAGGGAACCTGCCACTCAAAGGATTTTCAAAGGTAACCTGGGAAACTTGGGTTTTCCAGAGTCTGGATGCAGCTAGGGAACCAGAAACCTTAACAAAAGAAGACGCGGGAGGTTGATGCCTCTGCGAGGCTCAGAGAAAGTGGTGGTGGCTATTCCCAAGGCTGCATGGTCGGCCAATTGAGCTGTGCAGGCGCAGAGCCCAGGATGCTCTAAACTAAGGGGACTTGTCACCAGGACAAGTTTGTCCAGGAGGTAACTTTCCCACTGGGGAGACAGCAGACTAGGGGACGTGGCTGCTACACAAGGACCAGGACAGGGGTTAGGTCCCAGGACATGTGTAAAAACAGGGCGTGGTGACACATGCTTGGGATGGCGGCACTGCGGAGTCGAGGACAGGGATGCCACTGGGCTTTGTTGATTAACCACCCAGTTCAAGTCCAGCGAGAGACCCTATTTCAAAGACTGAAAAAGATGGTGTCTGAGAAATGACTGCTAAGGTTGTCCTCTGATCTCTCTCTCTCTCTCTCTCTCTCTCTCTCTCTCTCTCTCTCTC